TGGAGAGGGAGTGTGTGTGTGGGGGGGGGGACATAGTCAGACCTACACTTTAGGGAAAATTACTTTAGTGGCTAAATGGAGGATAGATTGGAATGGGGAAAAACTTGAAGCAGGCAGATCCACCAGCAGGTTATTGTAATAATCCAGGTATAAAGTGATGAGGTCCTGCACCAGAGTGACGGCAATGTCGGAGGAAAGACGGGGGCATATAGTAGAGATGTTGCAGAGGTGACATCAACAGGACTTGGCAACAGTTTGGATGTGGGGGATGAGAGAGTGTGAGGAGCTAGATTGTGAGCCTGATGGACTGGGAGGATGGCGTTACCTTCTACAGCAATAAGGAAGATTGGAGGAGAGAAAAGTTTAAGGGGAAAGGTAATGAGTTCTGTTTTGGACATGCTTAGTTTAAGATGACTACTAGACATACATTTTGAGATGTCTGAAAGGCAGGTAGATATTCGAGATTGAAGGTTAACATAAAGTTTTGGGCAAGATAGGTAGATTTGAGAATCATCAACATTAAAGATGGTAATTAAATCCATAGGAGCTTATGAGTTCATCAAGTGAAGTAGTAGAGAGGGAGAAGAGTGCCCAGGACAGAATGATAAGGGACACCTACGGTTATGAGGATCGAGTAAAAAAGACAGAGAAGGAATAGTCCAATAGTTAGAGGAGAACCAGCACAGACAAGTGTCCTGAAAACCTAGAGAGAAGAGAGTATCAAGGAGAGTGACCAACAGTATCAAAGGCTACAGAGAGGTCAAGGATAATGAGGATAAAGAAAAGGCCATTAGATTTGGCAACTAAGACATCTTTGGTAACTCTGGAGGGACTGGTTTTGCTGGAATGATAAAGTCAGAAACTAGATTATAAGGGGTTAAGTAAAGAGTGAGAGGAAAGTGAAAGTGCCTGTTGTACCTGGCCTTTTCAAGGTGTTTAGCCACAAAGGTCAGAAGAGATATAGGACAGTAACAGGTTTAGGAAGGATCAGGTGAGGATTTTTTCAAGATGAAAAAGATGTGGGCATATTTGTAGACAGTCAATGAGCCAGCAGACAGGAATAGATTGAAAATAAATTACAGGGAAAAAAAAAGAAAAGAAATGATAGAGCAGGGATGACAAAGGGGTCAGTCTATTAGAAGCGACAGAAGGGGATGGGATTGTTTGGTCAGGTAGAAGTTCTAGCCTTGGTAAGAAGTAAGGTCATTTCATCATGTGAAACAGGGGTAAAAGAGAAAGTGGCAGAAGAGTGATCAGAAGATGAGGAAGAGGGATCTCATGGTGAATGGCCTCAATTTTTTATGTCAAATATGAGACAAAGATCTCAACTGAGAGGGTGGAAAAAGGGTGAACCATGGCAAGTTTGGGGAGGGATGAAAATGTTTGGGAAAGCCATCATGGAGAGTAAGAGAGTGAGCTGATAAGGAAGGTATAGTAGGATTGTTTGGCGTCAGTGAGAACCCAGTTGAGGTTATGTATCATAAATTTGTAGTGGACCCAGTCAAAATGATTGTGTGATTTTCTCCACCTTCATTCAGCAGCACATGTAGAAGAGTAAAGGCAACAAATGGTGGGAGCAATCCAAAGTGGAGACTTGGCAGGGTGTAATTAGTGATGTGATAAGGGGACTAGGAATTCAAGAGAGGAGGACAGTGAAGAGTTGAATTGGTTTACCAAGGGGTCGGTATGGGGAAAAGAGGAGAGAATGGCTAGTACAGAGGATTTAGGAGAGAATTGAGGGTTCAAGGGGTGGGAAGTCAGAGGGGGATACAGAATGAGGTTTTGTAAGGGAAAGCAAGAGAAATGAAAAGCTCAGAGGCCATGATTGAGTATATTTCAAAATTCTTAAACATGGAGGCTGTACATTTGTGAATAATGGCAAGATCGAGGGTATAATCATCTTTGTGTGTGGCTGAGATGGAGTGTAGTTCATGGGAAATCAGTAGACTGAGGAACTGAGTGGTGAGGGAGTTTGAGAGAGAGCCAATATGTTGAAGTTTCCTAGTATGAGGGCAGGGGTTGGAGAGGAGGGAAAAATTGTAAGCCATGTACCAAACTGACAGAAGAAGGAAAAAGAGTGACCTAAGAGACTGTAGACAACAGCTACCAGACTTGTAATTGGGTGGTTCATATGAATAGCGTGAACTCAAAGAAAGAAAATTTACTACAGAGTGATGGACATAGGGGGAGAACCTGGAAGTAGCTATGGGAAACAAGGAATATTTCAACTCCCTTGCCTTGATCAGTGAGCTTAGGAGAATGAGTGAAGGTACAGCCAGTACTGGAAAGGGTGGCCAGGAAGGCTGTGTTATTGGGGAAAGGAGTGGGTGGGGAGTGAGGGTGTGGAGAAGAGTTTCAGTAATAGCTAGTAGATGAAAGGAGTGTGAGAGGAAAAGATTAAGGATGAAGGAAAGTTTGTTTTGTATGGAACAGACATTCCAGAGAGCACAGCGAAAGGGTTGGGTGATGTTTGGTTGAAATTTTGAGCTGAGAGGGTTAAGGGGGATGAGAAAGAGGAAGATAAGATAGCATGTGTATATTTATATACAGATCCTATCAAGCTAAAAAGACTTCCATTATAGGCCTGGTGATAGACTGGGTGTTTGTCATTTGATGACCAACCTGATAAAGTTCAAATAACCTCATGACTAGGTTTCCTGCTGGATAATGATGAATTCTTTTCAGCCATGCCAACTGCTGCAGGTCATCTAAAAAGTTATAGGGGGGAGAGTCCATTTTACTTCAGGTGAGGAAGTGAGTGCCCACACCCTTGAAGCCAGGGTACTTGGGTCAGTCAATCACTCCACTAGTTTCCATTGAACTCTTACTATATGCCAGACACTATACTAGGCCATTAAGTAATGGAGTATAAATAGGGGTATCTACACAAATACATACGTGCAAATGTGTGTGTATAATGCCCCTGACAGTCGGAGGAAATTACAAAAAAACTGAATGCTCTCCCTGAAAGTATCAATTTGAGATTTTCCATTGAGAAAATGAATAATAACATATGCCACTACCAACTTCCTGTCAAGAAAGAGGTTCTTAACCCAAAAGGCCAGGAGGTGAGAGAAGCACAGAGTCTGTTGTTCACCTCCTTGAAAAGCAAGTGAGAAGGTGGAATGAGCTCTTTCTTTTCCTTCTAAGCAGGAAGGCATCCCTCAGATGCTTCCATTTTTATTGTTGTTTTTCAGTCATTTCAGTCATGTCCGACTCTCCATGACCCCATTTGGGGTTTTCTTGGCAAAGATACTGCAGTGGTTTGCCATTTTCTTCTTCAGCCCATTCAATAGATGAGGAACTAAGGCAAATAGAACAACAACAATGAATGTAATTAATTGAGCTTAGTTGGGTTTTTTTTGAGTGTGGCTTTGTCATAAAACAATACTTTTATAAAAATTTGGCTCAAATTAATTCATCAGGTTTAATTAGGGCTCAATTCAGGTCTAATTTTCTCAACTTATATATCCTTGCTGTCTGTATCTGTCTTTCTGTGTAATGGTTTGGATTAGGTCATGACGTAGTTGAGTGTTAAACTGTTCTTACAAAACTGAGCTCCTAGTCAGTTGACTATGCTGTGCTTCGTCCCCAAGGCCACATTCCCCATACAACAAGGCTTACTTAGTCTCCAAGCACACATAGCTTTGTCATTATGGCAAAGGGAAACAACTCTTCACTATCCCAGTGAGGCTAGTGCCAGAGAAAACTATGAGCAAAGTATTGTCACAGGGGGTTCTAGGGTTCAACATAAATTAACTTGCAGGCAGATATTGGGGAATAAAGCAAAATTTGCTTGGTTTTTGTTTTGTTTTGTTTTTTGATAAATAATACATAGTCAACCCACTGCATTTTCATTGCTACAGCAAAATTTAGGGAATCCCAGAATTATCACTAACCTGTATCGAAGGCCAACAAGGACAAAGGAAAACAATCTACTGATGATTAGAATCCATAATTAAATATGATCCCTGGTCTTTTAAAAATTGCATTGATTGGCAAGGTATAAAACCCAAGGGAAGGAAAATAATTTCAAACTTTTCTTTGAGCCCAAGGTATCTGAAAGTTGGGAGGTCACTAAGTACCAGCTAACAAGTTTCAGCTATTAGCTCTCAAGCCTATAGAGAAGGACTTAGAACTGCTGACTCCCTCTGGGTTTTGCCCTCCCCTTCCTCTCAGTGACCATACGTTTGCCATTTTATCCCAGAAGGGCAGGGTGACCTTCTCCTTGGCTACCTGCTTTTCTGTCACACCTTGTGTTGCCATGAAGCTATTGAAGACATTTTCCGTTCTCCTCAGTGACATATAATTCTTTTAAGTGAACATTGCTCGTGTTGCTGCATGTAGGCCTGTGTTAACTACCCAGCTTTATTCCTATTTATGTGATGCTGACTCATTTTCCCCAGATATTTCTGTATTCACTGTTTGCTATATCCCCTTGCTCTCAATTGTGATGTGACAAGTAGGGCATTTATTAAAGTTTTGCGAGACTTTTTCTAGCTTTTGGTCCAGATGTCCTTGGATGGTATGTTGGCAGTGTCTGACTACCATCCATTTGTGTATTATATTCCCACACTTTCTATTCCTACCTCCTAAGCAAAGCAGCATGACTGACATGAAATGACTGAAAATGAAATCCAGATGATTTGTGAGGAGGAATGTGGCCCATGAAAAAAAAATATTCCACAACAAGAAGCGAGTGCTCTAAGACAGTCCAAGAATGTATGAGCGTGCTTCTCCTATCCGTGTGTAGCAGGCATTCCCTCTGCGTTTGAATAAAAGACAAGGAAATTCTGGATGGCTGCATCTTTCCTAGGAAAACATTCTGGCGTGGTGAACTTTCAAATTAGGTTTTCAGATGTGACCTGCTCCTAGTTATTTACATGTTACATAGTCCAGTAGAGCTAATGAACAGATTTACCCAGACTTCACCAAAAAAAAGTATAATGTACCACTGTAACCTTGTGTGAGAAATGGTTTATCTTATGCTTTAATTTCAGGAAGCCTGCGATCTTGAAACAATAAAGCCTGAAGCCAAGCGGTACTTAGAAAAGTCCATTAAGATGGGAAAGAGAAATGGGCTTCATCTTCCAGAAGAAGTACAAAATGTGAGTTTGGTTTTCTCTTCCTTCTACCACATTTGGGAAGCAAGGGCATGTTCAGATTGTTTGGGCGTTCTATTGTTTTTGTTAGGCAGTGGGGTTAAGTGACTTGCCCAGGGTCACACAGCTAGTAAGTGTTATGTGCCTGAGGCCGCATTTGAACTCAGGGCCTCCTGAATCCAGGGCCGGTGCTGTATCCACTGCGCCACCTAGGTGCCCCATGTTTGGGCATTCTAGATGCTAGGCCATCTATTCACTAAGGTCCTTATTTGAAACTGTATGACTATACGCTCACTTTCTTGCTTTCTCTTTGGGGAACTCTTATTGAATTTAAGGTCATTAACATATATTTGTGACTTAATTTGTCACTATTAGGTAATTATCCTCTATTTTTCCACCTTGCCATCAAGTTTCTATCCCCAAGGCAGGGATCATAGCTTATTCTTCTGTATTTTTTTTCCCCTCTAACCCTCTCCTCCCAATGATTATTCACTGAGTCATTAAATGAGGCTACTTTGTGGATGGATTATGACATAAATATCTATCTATCTATCTTTCTTTCTTTCTATGTATCTACATACGTATGTGTGTGTTGAGAAAGAGAGAGAGAGAGAGAGAGAGAGAGAGAGAGAGAGAGAGAGAGAGAGAGAGAGAGAGGGAGTCCTAGAAGAAACTCTTTGCACCTTCTAGGAGGGGAAGATTAACTTGTGAGCATTGGTTCCCAAGCTTTTTCATTGTGTTTTCCCTATATTTTAACTCTTATATTGCTTCATTCATCAAAATATTTATTAGCCACCTCCTATTGGCAAAATCCTTGAAAGATTCATACAGAATTAAAATGTTAACCTCTGGCCTCATGAAGCTTACAGTCTAGTGGGGAGATTGATAAGATAAAACTGTAAGGGCAGAAGAGATGCAAGTCTGCAGAGGAATATTGATGCTAGTTTAGACTTTATATGATAGGCAATAGGGAGCTGTCAAAATATTTTGAGTAGAGGAATCACAGTTTTGAATATGAGATAGATTAATCTGGCAGCAGTGTTCAGGATGAATTGGAGAAGAGGGGAGGAAGAGAACAAGCATTTATTAAGTGCCTACCATGTGCCAAGTACTTTACAATTATTATCTCATTTGATTCCTGCAATAACCCTGTGAGATAGATGCTATTATTATCCCTATTTTACAGATGAGGAAATTAAGGTAGACAGACTTGCCCAGGGTCACACAGCTACTAAGTGTCTAAGGTCAGATTTGAACTCAGGTTTTCCTGACTCTGGGCCTTGTGCTCTATCCACTAAAGGAAGAAATTGGTGGTGAGCTGACTACTTAAGAGGAGGATGCAATAAAGAACAGAGGTACTACTGAAGCCTGGTATTTCCACTAGTGGCAGTGGAAATTAAGAGAAGGGAACAGAATGAAGAGAGATTGTAGAGAATGAATCAATATAACTTGCATGGTAACCCTTTGGGTGGAGGGGGACAGGGAGATTAAATTGTTAAAATGATATCAGGGTGTCAGTCATATGTGATTGCATGCTGTTGATGCCATTGACCTAAATGAGGAAGTTAAAGACACAGTCCATCTGGGGAGGGAAACATAAATATTTGTTAAACTCTAGATACTTTCCATGTAAAAAGAAAGAAAGAACTATAACAAAACTAGAAACCTCCCTGTGCTTCTTCTGGTTCAGAAATGAACAGATTTTCAGCATCCATATAAGCTTGGAGCAAGGTAGGGAAGGAAGTAAGAGGTTAGAGAATGAAGTACTAGTAGAAAAACACAGGGAAAATAAGGTTTTGACTATAAAGAAAAAGAATACAGTGCTGATAGTATTGACTTAGTGTCTTAATGCTATCTGAGTGAGGTTCAGGATTCCAAAATGCAGTACAAGGAAGGCTGGAATGCCGCAAGACAGAACACAGGACGAGATGAGATTCTGCTCTTCAGCAGAAAGAGAAAGTATAGCCAGCTGGCTTCACTGAAAGGGAATACTTGCATTAAGAAGGGGCAGTCAGGGTGGGTGCTTACAAGGTCATGTTCCTCTGGAATCTCCAGTGGAAGAAGTGGAGGAGTGAGGTTGTGGCCCAGAAACAAGTAAAGTCTAGTGGGTTTTTAAAGGGTTCTCACAGCAGTCAAACAAGATGAGGCATTGGGAAGAGTAAGCAAGAATCCTGGATGGGGTGTGCAGGTATAGGATTGCTGCTGTGATTCATGTTGAGGGGGTGGGGGTGGGGGGCAGGAACAAATACCCAGGATTGGGCAGGTATTGGAATTTCAAACTCCCCGAAGGAAGGAGTTATTGCAAGCCAAACTTTGACAGGGTGACCCAGGGGATTTGAGCCTTCCTGGTCAGCAGGTCAAGGAGGTTACTGAGATCCTTGTGCATGGATTTGGAATTAAGTCATGGAATGAGCGTCCACAACTCCCCCCTCTGCTAGAGCTTCCTAGACAGACTTAGATTTTGGGGAGGGGGATCAGAAAGACCCTGGGTGTCTCCTTGTCCTCCCCTTCTCTTAGATCCCAGCTAGAGAAGTGCTGAAGATAAGGAAGCTATAGCTGATCCTAGTAATTAATTTCCTACACCTGCAGGCTAGTTTTCCCTTCACACTTTCCCTTTGCAGGGAAAGAAGCCCAATCAGTAGAATCTCAGTTTTCGTCTTATCAGAAAAAACAGAAATTCAAATTAAAAAAAAAAGTCAAAGCCAATTGAAACAAGTTTTGGTAACTATCATTCATCAGACATGCTGAGGATAGTGTGAATTTACAGAAAAATGGATACCTCATGCTAGTCCATAGAACTTATAAGAAGCTTCCTTCTCTGACTTGGCCCTGCTCCTTCCTAGACTCCAGCACAGTATAAGGGCTAATATTTGCCTGCTCATTCTCAAAATCTGATTAATTTCTTTAAGTTTGGCTGCTAGATGCAGTGGGGGAAAGTGGCCATTGAGGAATCAGAATCTTTTTTTTTTTTTTGCCCATGCCTTTGTTGCCTCCCAGCTGGCCCTACTAAGACCTTAAATCATCCTTGTCCATAAAAGTTACTCCAAAAATTAGGAACCACAAAAACCAGTCATCTAATGCAAAGATGTGAAACCCATGGCATGTAGTACGCCTGAACTAGATTAACATGTAATTGGGAAATGTTTTAAAACCATAAACAAAAATACAGTACAACATAGATAATGTTGATTTGTGGTATTCTGAGTCAAGATGAGGCCAGCAGGGATCCTTTACCTTTTGAATTTCACAGCTCTGGCCTGGTTGTCCTTTCCCTCTTTACTCCAAATGTTGACTCCTAGTGGCAGCTAGGTGGCACAGTAGATGGAGGGCTGTTCCAAGGCACAGTGGATAGAGTGCTAGCTTAGAGTTAGGAAGATTCATCTTCTTGAGTTCAAATCTGGCCTCAGACACTTACTAGCCTTGTGACCGTGGGCAAGTCACTTAACCTGGTTTGCCTTAGTTCTTCCTGGGTAAAATGAGCTGGAGAAGGAAATGACAAACCACTGCAATTTTTTTGCCAATGAAACACCAAAAATGAAGTCACAAAGAATAGGACATGACTGAAAAACTACTGAACAACAAGACCAGAGTTCAAATGCAGACACGTAAAAGCTGTGTGACTCTGAGCAAGTCACTTGACCTCCCTCTTATCAGTTTCAGTTCCCATATCTGTAAAATGAGGAAAATAATAGTATGTCTACCTCTCAGGGTTGTAAGGATCAAATGAAATAACATACAGGGCTTTACAAACCTTAAAGCAAGAAATAAATGCTAACTAGTTAGCTTCTACACTTGGTGTTGGTTACTCTATTGAAAATTCGTACTGGAGAATACAAAATGCCAGCTTCTGGAGCTTTCAAATGTGTCATGTGCTAAATCACTCAGCTTTTGCCCTACTGACAGTTTTCATTTGTTATTTCCCAATTCATGGTGTATTTTTAACTTCCTCAGAATTGCCATTTTGGCACTGCTGCCAGCTTTTTAAAGAAGCTACAAATACTTCTCCAGTAATGGTTCCTTTTGTTGCTTATAAATCTTAATTTTTCAGGTACAGGGTCCAGACTTCCTTCTCCCTTCCCGTTCTTTTCTTTTGTGCATCTCCCTCCAAACTTTGAGAACCAACAACCAATTCTCTGCAAGACAGAAATATCAAACGTGCCAGTGGATTTAAATTAGTATCTTATATATTTGGGGGGGGGAGGAACATGTTTGGAGAAAGTTGGGGTCTAGACCTGTGATTTCATTAGTGTGAGGAACTGATCGTATAGAAAGTTCCCCCACCACTGATGCAGATGTGTGCATATACACATAAATATAGATCTATAATTTCATCCATATGTGTGTGTGTGTGTGTGTATATGTATATATATGTGTGTGTATATATGCATGTGTGAATATATGTATATACGCATATACATGGAAGAATGGTAAAGGATCTGTTACATACGTCACTAAGGAAGCATTTTGTGTAAGTTGGGTATTAAAACTATTCTTTTTTTATACTTAAAATCTATTTTTACTGAAAATAAATTAAAATTAAAGTGTTTTAAATAGATTTAAAAATAAAATTTTGAGTAAGTTTAAAAAATGTATTAAAAGTTAATTTAGACTTTTCACTTATTAATGTTTATCCTCAATCCAGGAAATCAAAGCAATGAAGAAAAGAATGAGTGAATTATGTATAGACTTCAATAAAAACCTCAATGAAGATAATACCTTTCTTACATTTTCTAAGGAAGAACTTGGTAAATATTGACATTTCATAGATTAAATGACTATATGGTATTATGGTATAGATTAAATGGTATATGATCATATGGGCAAATTCTTCACCTCATTGTGCCTCAGTTTACTCTACTTTCCATGTTGAAATTAAAAACCCTTGAGAAGTCATTCATTGCAATCTTGAAAGACTTCAGAATTCTGATCATTGCAGTGATCAACACTAATTCCAGAAGACCAATGATAAAACATAGTCCCTACCTCTTGACCTAAACCTGCGTAATGAGACATACATTTTTGGACATAACCAATATGGGAATTTGTTTTCCTTGACTATGCTTTTTTGTTGCAAGGATTTTGTTGTTGTTGTTGCTTTGTTTTTTCAGTGGAGAAGGAGATAGAAAAAAAATAAATGCTAGACAATTGAAAAAATAAGACTTAATTACAATTTTTAAAAAAGAAGTCATTTATCCTGTTCCCTTTTCTTTAGACTGGGCCATGGTCAGACCCTCCCTAATTGCAGGCAAATGAGGATTTCCAAAGGAAAGCTGCCAACCTCTTTGGGTGGTACTCTTTCTGGTATTTAGCAAGCATCCTGTCTCTGTTCTAAGAGACAACTTAAGCATTTTTCCTCTTGATCTGTTCTATATCTTTTTTTGTTTGATTATCTAGCAGCACAGTGACTATAAGAGCACTTAAACATATTTATAGTTAGAACCTTACCCTTAAGATATTGTGGGAATCATCTTTGTTCTTATTTTCATATTCATTTAATTTCCAAATACCTGGAGATTCTTACAGGCTCCCTGCCAATTCCACAGTAAACTCATCTTTGAGGGATGAAATTAACATATGAAAAAATTGTGTTTTATAGGAGCTCTTCCTGATGATTTTCTTGACAGTTTAGAAAAAATAGAAGATAACAAATATAAAGTTACCTTAAAATATCCCCACTACTTTCCTGTCATGAAAAAATGTTGTATCCCAGAAACCAGAAGGAAGATGGAAATGGCTTTTAATACAAGATGCAAAGAGGTATGATAAATGTTTGCATTTATCCTGTTCACATTACAGATTTGATAAGGAAAGGGACTTGCTTTCTTGGCCAGAATTGCAATAAACTTTATAGACATATTGTCCAGTTTGGGCATTATTCGTGCCCTTTTATTCCAATTAGCTAACTTACCTCTGGCTATTTTCTTTCCTGATGATCCCTCCATAGAAAGAAACTGAGAAAGAGAGGGGGTGGGATGGGAAATGAGGGGTAAGAGACAGAGGCAGAAAGAAAAGAAAACTTAGTTGGTGTTAGCATTCTGGGACATTTTTATTATTTATGTTGCTTCAGTCTATGTTTTCTTTGATGTGAATGGAACAAGTGGTACCTTTAGAAGGTCAGACTTCTAAGTCTGTCCTAAAATCTACTGTATAATCAGTTGGATCTATTTTTCTCCTGAATAGAACATCTGTCTTGCTTTCTTCATCAACCTTATTAAACTAGTTTTCAATAATAATTGCCAAGTTGATCAAATGTACGCTGGACTGACAATTTTTATAATTCACATATCTAAAGAAACTTTTATACCAAGGATACAAAAGGATGGGGGTTTTTTGAGTCTGTATTTAGAAAATGCTTTCCATTGCAGAAATCACTCTAATCTGTGTTTGAAGGAAGGTGGTGTCATTTTAGCTTTAAAAATTACATGCAGGCATTCTGAACATGAAGCTTTGTTTATAGATGGTTCCTTTGGAATATGCTGGGTTTTAATCATCTTGATAAGTAGCAATGAACAGTCATTTCATATTTCATGATAAATTTCAGCCTGAAGTTCTGGGAAGCAGTGGGCATATTTGTTAGATCAAATTCACGTCTATTTAAGCCCAAAGTACAGATAATGTTAACTGGAAATGTGAATATAATGCACAGCATTGGAAGACTTGTTTCCGCTCTAAAAATCCAGTTAATTCATCTGAATAAGCATCTATTTCTTTGTTTGTTTACATAATGTTATTATTCTTCCAAAAAGAGTTCAAGCAACTTTACCAAAAACTTTAACCTTAATGTTTCCAGCATTTTCAATGAGAGGCAGTGTAGCATGATGGATAGTGGGATGGCTTTGGGGCCAGAAGGCCCTAGATTCAAGTCTCCTCTCTGCCACATACTGAATCTGTGATCCTGTACAAGTCATTTAACCTTTTTAGTGCCTTGGGCAACTCTGGAAGCCTGTAAGTCTGCATTAATGGAGTGAATTTCCTCACCAGGACTTCCCTACAATGATTAAATCATAGATTCTGGAAAGAAATCTAGCATTATAAATCAGAAGGTTATAGGGGGCAGGAGAGGGTGTGGGATAACTCAGAAGAGGAAGGGGATAGGAAGACCAAGTCCCAGTGAGAGTCAGACCCAAGTAAAAAGCAGTCATCATTGTCTACCTTCCACACCCCACCCCAAAAATGATACTACCAAGGTTCTTCCAAGTATTTATCATTCTCCCAGTTTCATCTCCAGGATTACCTTTGATTCATCTTCAAGATGAAGGGAAAGGCAGGCAACTGTAAATCACCCCCTTCACATTGATTCCTACCAATGTTCCCTGGAACTAACTCCCACCTGATCTTTGGGAGAAGGGAAAAAACTCTGAGCAAAAATTATATCTAGCTCCATCTCAGATCCTAGTAACTCCTTTTAGTAACCAAGGTGGTATTTGAGAAGGAATTCTTAACCTTTTTTATATCATGGACCCTTTTGGCAGGTTGGTGAATCCTATGGACCCCTTCTCAGAATAATGTTTTTAAATGCAAAAAATAAAATACATAAGATTACAGAGGAAACCAATTATATTGAAATAATCTGTAAACAAACAGACTGCAATCACGTGTGATCTAGAGGAAAGTCTAATAACCAGTCATTTCAAAGTAGTGATGAATAGATATGATATTTCAAGATATCTTCAACAACTGTAATGGAATATGAAAATGTCTGTGATTTCTATTGATGACAAAGTCATAGATACTGATAATACTACTGTTGTTTGTTGCCTATGTTTATAATTGAAGAAAATTCTAAATTTCAATGAGAGATTAGTGGAAATAAAGATGTAATTTTTATCACAATCAAATTCACAATCTATGGACCTTGGGTTAAGAAACCCTGTGTTACAGTGACTATAGTTTCGGCATATGTGACTTCTCCCCTAATCAGCTAGCTAAACTAAACATATATGAAAGAAATTAAATAGCTAAGGCAACTTTAAGTGTACCTTCTAAGTATTATGTTGCAAAAACGTGAATAAAAATATTGCCAACTTGATATCACAAAAAGTGAGTACTCAGACATAAAAGGATATAGTTATTTGCACAGTATAGTGATATCTATGAAGAATGTAAACTCATCCTTCTTATTGATTTTCTGTTTTATATGCTGTCTGCTTATATAGCATGACTGTGTCCTCACAGGTTCTGTTCCTCTGGACCAAGTTGGTAGGAGTATCACTAATAAGATTAGACTCCCTATAGTCTCATTGTAATACCTGAAACTGCCATATGGCTTATCAATGGTATGTGTTACCAGAGTTCCTTTTGAGCTTTTCTAAAAGAAGGGAGTTAGGGTACTCCTGAAATAGTTGGCAGTGTCACTTGTTAGGGCTTGGTGTCATGCATTGTCAGCCAAGTGCAGATTCTGAGCACCATACCCATTTTCACTGACCATCATGGTATTGCACACATTCAAAGGAAGCATGGCAGAGTGAATCAAGAAGTGAACATAGAGTCAGGAAAATCTGGGTTCAAATTACACCTATAACACGTTAGCTGCTTTGTAAACTTTAAAACTCCATTAAATATCATCTGTTGTTATTGTTATTATTGTTAATCATGTCATCCATTTATTTCACTTCAATAACAGCTGTTAAAATCATACAAGTGAGTCTTTTCAGATGGGCCTAGATTAAGATTATAAAAAGTTTATATTCATAATTAAGGCTGATTTATCTAGATTTCAGCTTAAAAATTAAAGAGAAAAAATTTTTTTAATTAAAGAAAAGACCTGAGTTCAAATCCAGCCTCAGATACTTACTGGCTGTGTGACCCTGGCCAAGTCATTTGGCCCTGTTTGCCTCAGTTTCCTCATCTGTAAAATGAGCTGGAGAAAGAATGACAAACCACTTCAACATCATTGCCAAGTAAACTCCAGATAGGGTCACAGAGACTCATACACTGACTCATAAACAACTGAACAACAAACAAATAAAGGCCCATAAACAACTGAATGACAAACAAGCTTAAAAATTTGGACCAAAAAGTGATTAGCTTTTCCCCAAGGTTGTTGGGGAAACTCAGCCACTTCCTTTGTCTCCCTATAATTGATTTGTGCTTCTTAGGAAACACTCACATTAATGTGCCTCATCCTTATCCCATAAAGCCTTTACTTTAGTATTTTCTTATTTTTTACTTTTAAAGATGACTGAACAGCTCATCTGTTGGAATAGGCGTAGTAGAAAGCACTTGTTTCCACAAAATCTGTAGGGCAACAAATTGACAAGCAGTAAGGTGGCTAAGTGACCAAGTAGCATGTTAGAGAAGGATTATTTACAAATACTCATTGATCCTCTGTTGAAATCTGTCATGGGTCATCTTGTTGTGAAAATAAGTCTACTCAAAACCAGAAATAAAAATCTCAGGGTATCCATTCCAATCTTTATCTAAATTCCCATGTGTTTTATTCATCATGTGTAGTATTTGCTACACTAATCAACCTCTCATGATCCGCCTTTCATTTATAAGACCATTCTTTTAGTTGAGTAGTCCGTCTATTGTCCATCAGCCTTGATAATGAACCACCAACTATCTTAGGATCACAAATTTAGAGATGAAAGGGATTTTCAGTACCGTTTATGGTCCAACCCCATCATTTTACACTGGAGAAAAGAGAAACCCAGTGATCTGAAGTGACTTTCTCAGAGACACACAGGTCAGGAATTGAAAACAGATCCTCTGACTCCATTATTCTGTCTATTTCTCCTTTATCATTTCACATCATAAGATGCCTCCAATACAGCTGTTACCCCTGACCATCGTGATATTCATCTTATGTTATTTGTTCACTCAGAGAAATTCTTTCCATTATTCTTGGGATAATTACAAACTTTAGCACTTCAGGTTTGTTATGGAAGAATTATTAACTGCCAGAAAATGAACACAAGTTGAATGAACATTATCAAAATTGTCATTTCTGAGCTTGATGGATTAGACAGAGCACTGGATTTGGACTGAGATCAGAATTTCTACTTCTACCCAAATTATTTTATGATTATATAGCTAATTATGTCATCTTTCTGTGCCTAAATTTTCTGAATAAAAAAAAATGGAGATATTGTCATCTGTCTTTGCATTCTTATAAAATCTCAGTAAATAGTGTGGAATTTGTACATGTACTTTGAGCTCTTTGGAAGATGCTATGTAAGTACAAATTATTGTTATGGCATCATTATCTTGCTAAAAAGGCAGGCTGTTTATGACAGCAATAATTGTGCATGCTGACACTGAGATATTATAAAATGGTCTCTGACATGATTTAATGTTGGTTCCATAATAATAATGTTTAGCACTTTGAAAATGTAAACAGCTCTAAAAATACCTTGAAGGCATTCGTTTGTTAAACCTTAAACAGTCATATAAGTTGGGCTTTGTATTATTATTCACATTTTCCAATTTAAATGCAAAAAGATGAAATTATCTGCCCGTGGTCATAGCAATTTAATAATGGGGTCAAAATTAGAATTCAAAATTTGACTCCATGTTATTTACCAGCTTATGGCTTCAAATGGAAAGCAAGATTGTAATTTTCACAACTGAAAATTTAGCATTGCTTAAATCGAGGCATACTTCTGCTCAACTATCTAGCAAATTCAAGTCTCAACCTTCAGCTAAATCTCACTCCTTCAGGTGAAAGGGGAGAAGGATCCTAGTCCAAATTACTAGAAAGCCTGGATTATGACAGCCTTCAAAAATAATCTATTTTTTTGTGTTTATTTTCAAGTTATTCAGAAAATGTCCCTTGTGAACTTTTTGACTGCATACAAATGATCCTAAAGGTGTTAACTTTAAAAAAAATTAAGTAAAAGAATTAAACGTAGTTGGAAATCATGTACTTTCAACCCTTGTTCACGGTTCCTATTTCATGCAGCCATATTATACGTGCTTAAGTTGTATAAATTCCAAAACTGGCATCTGGGATGTGATTGCTGTTGATGACATAGCTATACTTATAAAGCAGAGATAAACACATCTAGGGAGGAAATACATTTTTCCCTCATAGGATCGTCTCAGAGAAATTCCAATATTTTTCCAACCCCTATCCCTCTACCTCATAAATGTTATTTAAATTATAGTTACTAAAAAGTCTTCTAATGTTTGTCACTTCTTCCTACTGCAAAATATAATAAAAAAGAATTCTTCCCTTTTCAAAGTCTGTCTCTTGCTAATGACCATCTTTTTTTTTTTTTTTTTGGTTTTCAGGAAAACACCAAAATTCTGCAACAGCTACTTCCACTCCGAGCCAAAGTAGCAAAACTACTTGGCTATAGCACGCATGCCGACTTTGTGCTAGAGCTCAACACTGCCAAGAGTACAAGCTGTGTTACTGACTTTTTAGGTGGGTCCTAGTTTATAAACCATAGACCCTTTAGCTGCAGTTCCTCCTTCTTTGGCTCCTTTGTGTCACAGGAGCATTGCAGAAGGAGCCAGAACTGAACAAGCTGACGCTTGCCAGTTTTTCTGTTGTTTTTAGGGTCACATTTGTTTTTTGTGGTAATGCTTAACAAGACCTTTAAAATTCCAGCTAGAAATGTCACTATATCCTTGGATCACTGCTACCAAGGACTAGCAAGTACCGAAAATTTCTGGGAGATGCACAGCAATGCATCAGAAAACGGAGACAGAGTATGTCCAAATAAAAGTTTTTGAACGTTTCTAAACCCGTTTTGTTGTTCAGTGTCTTTTCGGTAGTGTCTGACTCTTCATGACCCCATTTGGGGTTTTCTTGGCCAAGACATTGGAGTTGTTTGCCATGTCCTTCTCCACCTCATTTTACAGATGAGGAAACTGAGGCAAACAGAGTTCAGTGACTTGCTCAGGGTCACACAGCTAGTAAGTGTCTGAGCCAGATTTGAACTCAGAAAGATGAATCTTCTTGAAGCCAGGCCTGGGCCTCTATCCACTGCGCCAATGAGCTGCCAAACCATTGGGACCAGTTAGCAAATGAATACGAAGTATGCAAGAGAACATATCACAGCATTTCTAACGTTAAAACTATTTATTTGATAATTATGTTCATATATGGTTTAAATAAATTTCTTATACTCTGTCTTTTAAATCCATAGCTCTGTCAGCTGGTGTCACTTAGTTGTGGACTTCATGTCACCTTTTCCTCACCTTTTGAAAGACTCCAGAGGAACATTTATATTCTTTCCCATTCTGTTTCCCTTTAAACTGAGGGATAAGTTTAACTCAGTGACTTAACACAAATTATATTTGTTTACAACTAGCCTCCAGTGTAGAGTTATTCTTATTTTGAGATTATTACAATTTTCCTTCTAGGCCACTTTGTTTTTTATAAAATTTTATTACTGTTTTCTGTTTCTTACATCACCATAGTATCCCATGTAAACCTTCCCCTCCCAAAGAGCCATCCCATATGACAGATTATTTTTTTAAAGAAGAAAAAATAGTTACCACAGCTGATCGATAAAGAAGAAGTCTAAAATAGTCAGAAAAAGTCCAAAAACATGTGGAATATGTAACCTTTGGAACTCTTACCTCCACAAAGGAGCAGGTTGTGGGTGTCTTCTCATATCTCTTCAAAGGCAAAATAAGAAGGGGACAGCAGAGAATGAGGTGGATAGAGTATCATAGAAGCAATGAACACGAGCTTGAATGGACTTCAGGAGATAGTAGAGGATAGAAGGTCCTAGTGTGCTGTGGTCCCTGGGGTTATGAAGAGTTGGACACAACCGAATAACTGAACAGCACCACCTTAATATGAGAGAGATTCTTTTTCTCTTAAAATTAGACTGCAGCCAAGAGCTGTTCTTACTCTTGCTGAAATTGCTATCTTTTCCTTGAGGCCCATCTCTGAGTATTCCGTCTCCCTTACTTTCAACACCTTCAATTAAAATACTCTCTTCAGTATTAGCTGTCCTTGCAGGAACTGAATTACTTTAGCGGTGTCTTCTATCTAAATCAACTAGTTTCTCACGTTAAAAAGCAGGATGGAGTAGTAGATAGTGGTCTCAGAGTCAGGAAGACCTGAGTTCACGTTCTACCTCAGACACATATATGAGCTAGGGGAGCATGAGTAACTCGGCACACAACTCTTTATGACTTTGTAAGTTACAGGTGAATTGTCAGTTTACATTGGTGATAGGAATTCTCTCCCCACAGGTCCAAAACATTCCTCCTCCCCTCTGCCACCTTCCTCCCTACTCATCCCCACTGAGGATAAACTTATACCCACTCTGACTCTGCTGCTGCTAACATGTTTCTCTCACAGGCCCAGTTAGAACTGTTTTCTCTCTCTACATCCCTCTCCTAGCTCCACCTCCTCCCTTAGAATTCCTCTTACTTTGCCCAACTTCCTTCAGGCTGCCCCTTTGTGTCTCATAATGTGACAGTGCATTCTGAATTATAAAACAAAGAGGCAAGCACATCTTTTCTTGACTTAATAACGTAGAACAACATATAAAACAACAGCTTAGTAATTTAATCAAATACAATACAGATTCATGAAAGTAGGGGTTTTGTCAAAGAGTGTTAGCCATTTAGGTGACCCTGGTGTAGGGGGCAAACATTTACAGGATGTGATTGCTATGCCCCACCATGAGCCCCTCATAAAGAAGCTATAATGACAGGCCCAACTCTACCTGCCTAATAGGTTGTACTTTTAGTAGACAAGGTCAGGCACACAATTCAGATTATATTTATATATCCCCTCCCTCCAGCTTCATGAGAGGTATGAACCTTCTCCAGGAGAAAAACATGTCTGAGAATTTGGTTTCTCTACTCCCTGGTTCTGGTTCCCTGAGTCATGACATCAGAAACATGAAATTTCCTCTGAATCAATTCTAGCCAAACTGTCCATGTGAGAAAAAGGATATCACATGCTTAGGGTTTTTTTGGTACAAAATGTACCGTGGGTAGAGAAGCCACAGAAACTGTGTGGGAGAGGAAATTAGTGTTGCCCTTAAAAAACCCTACTGTGAATTTATGCAGCGAATGTTTACTAATATATTCTCTGTGCAGGAAGACACTTTGTTCCCTCAGTAGATAAGTGGCCAGAGCATATGAACAATTTTCAAGAGAATTTGAAGATATAAACAACCACTTGAAAGCATGCATCAAATATGACCATTAGTAAGAGAAATGGAGGTAGAAACAAAGATGATCCTCCATCCCCCCAGAAAAAAGGAAACTAGAAGCAGTTGATGTTGGGGGTGCTGTGGGGAAATAGGCATACAACACACTGCTGGTAGAGCAGTGAATTGATCCAGGTGTTATGAATATCAGTTTGAAATCATGCAAGAAAAGTGACTAAACTGTCCATACCCTTTGGCCTAGCAATTGAACATATTCTCCAAGGAAGACAGACAGAAAAAATGACCAAAATTATGGCCAAATATTCATAGCTGCACTCTTGCTGCAGAGGACCAAAAACAAAGTGAATGCTCATCAGTTTAGGAATGGCTGAACCATACACCATCAATGTAATGTATTGTTGTCTGGTAAGAAATGATTAATAGAAAGAATCCAGAGAAGCAGAGGCAGTTTTGTATGAACTGATACAAAGTGAGATAAGCAGAACTAAAGGAACACTAGACACAATGACTACAACAATATAATTTTTTTTAATCACTAAAAAGGGAGTTTTTAAAAAAGTAATCATTCCTGAGAACCAGTGATAAAATATAACACCCTTCCACATCAGGAGATAAGGAGCTACAAAGATAGAATATTATTAAAATACGTTGTCAGATGTAGTCAGTTTTTGGTTAATTCTTCTTCCTTGTTATGAGGTAGGGTTCAATCTGGAGAGAGGAAGAAGAGGATTTTTTTCTATAAATGACTGTGATGTAGACAAAAAGCACCCCCTCTCAAAAAATTTTTCTTTTGTTTTTGAAGAGGACGTGTTTAAAAATACTAAAAATACATACCCTACATTCTCTAACATGGTACCTGGCATATGATAAATGTTTAATAAATTTTTGTTGAATGAATGAATTCCCTCACTGAGAAAAACCAGAATATTAAGTGTCTTCATTGCCGTCACAGATGATTTAAGCCAGAAACTAAAACCTTTGGGTGAAGAAGAGCGAGAGTTCATCCTGAATTTGAAGAAAAAAGAATGTGAGGAAAAGGGATTTGAATATGACGGAAAAATCAATGCATGGGATTTGCATTACTACATGACCCAGGCAGAAGAACTCAAGTACTCCATCAACCAAGAGAAGCTCAAGGAATACTTCCCAATGGAAGTGGTCACTGAAGGCCTCCTGAACATTTACCAAGAGGTATTGGGCCTTTCATTTGAGCAAGTGACTGATGCACATGTCTGGAATGAAAGCGTTACTCTCTATACAGTGAAAGATAAAGCTACTGGAGAAGTATTAGGGCAATTTTACTTGGATCTATACCCAAGGTAATTCTATAAATTACTCCTCACTCTCTTAGTCTTCTATTGATAGCAATTCTGCCATATCCTTTGCCTTTGGCTATTTTTAAATTCACATTGTTGAGAGTCCACTAGTTTCCATTCTGAAATTAATCCTCTCAGCTTGGTTCTTCGACATGAGTTGCTGCATAGCACCAGGTGTTAAATCTGATCTGTTCTTCAGAATCGCTTTCCCATTCTCTGAAAATGTCTGTGAAACCCATAGTAGGTTGGTTTCAGTCCTCAGGTTTGCTAGAGCAAAAGAAAACACAGTATCCCCAGGTCACTAATTGGCAGAAATTGCTCATCCACTAATTCTAGGTGACTTCCCACAGTTGCTGGGTAGGAGGATGAGTGGCTATTTGGCCCATTTAGCGCCACCTGGGTGACCATATCAGTATTGTTATGGTTAATCCGGTGTCGCCAATGTGAGCTACAGTTGTTCTATGCAATTCTGTTGCTTAAAATAAAACCACTCCAAATGCTTATTTAAAATGAGAGTATGGGCCATAGTAATAGCTTTCAGAATTCTTTCTCAGGTGACCTTCCAGGCTTGGGAGTGATTATTTTTGCCTGCAAGTCTCCCTCACTGTCCTGTGTGTCTGCCAAGATACACTCAATATAACTCCTTAGCCTAGCATTTAAGGTTCTCCAAAATCTGGCTCCAACCTACCTTTATTCACACTACTCCCCTTCACACTTTCTACATTTCAGACAGACTGGTCTACCAGCTGTTCTCAGATCTCATCCCGCACTGTTCCACCTCCATGTGTCTTCACATAGGCCATTCCCTATGTATAGAAAGCACTCTTTTCTCATTTAAATGCTCCTCTACCTATAAGTCCAAATTTTGGTACTATCTCCTCCCTCCATGAAATCTGCCCTGATATGCACCCCTAGCTGAAAGTGAGTTATCCTTCTTCCAGTATTCTTAGATTCTTTTGGCTGAAGATCTCCTTTGCATTAGTCACAGATACCATAACTATTTGTAGACATGGCACATCCCTCTTAGTAGGCTTGGGCTTCTTGAGGCCAGGGACTGGTTTTTGTTGTTGTTGTTGTTGTTTTTTCTCTTCATCTCCCTAGGAGCCAGCATAGTGCTTTATATACTATGGGCACCATTTCGGTTTGTTGAATTAAATTGAATTGGATACTAAGAGAATAAGTCCTTACTGCCACTTTTCTAAATTCTGGCCTTAGCTATGACTGTAATTATCTTTTGTAGGAATGGAGAAAGCTTGGGGATGAATATTAGGATGGGCATTCTATACAACTTAGACTTTCAGCCACTTTGCCTGTTCTCTTCATAAGGATAACCTTTCAGTCTAGAATCTAGATAAATAGCTCCTGCTTAGTTTCTTTTGTTCAGCTGTGTCAATAAGAACCACCCTGAATAGTTTCGAGACAGACCAGCTCCTTGTTAACTGTAGTAGCTTCAGCAGGCAAGAGCCAGAAAGTGATGGAAGACACTAGAAAGGGAAGAAACAAAACAAAGACAAAAAGAAAAAAACATAAACCTGAGTGCTTTTAGTCATCTGAGGGAAAGAAAATCAAAGCCAGCCCTGTGGCCTCCATTAGGTAATCTGCAGCTTTGAAGTTCCCATCCTTGGTACTACTCCTCTGTAAGGAGAGGTGAGTTTATACTGTATTGGGTGCCTCTTCCCAGGCCAAGGTAGAGTATTCAGTTTCAGACAAGACAGGCCCATTTATAAATCGACTACTTTTGGTAGCATGAATTCTGCCCTTTTTGAACAGAGGAAGAATCGAATTGTTTGTGGTCTAATCTAGAATTGGATATCAGCCTAAGAAAGGAAACAACCATTTGTGTAAGATGAAAACTACCTCTGACTTCAAATTGACTTTTACTTCTGTGGCTAATTACAAAAGCTGAATTGGTGCTCTCCTCAGAAATGACAAGAAGGATATTATTAAAATAATTTGGGCTGTCAAATGTGCCAAGGCAGGGATAATTTTCATTCGAAGAGTCATATTCCCCAATAAAGTAAGTCTTGATAATATAGCTTCAAGGTGGTGTTTTTAACACTTTTATAGTCTGAATGCAGATCAAAGCATACTGTTTTCACTTTATTTTTTTCATGTTTTTCTTTCCTTTTGGTCTGTTTCTTCTTTCACAACATGACTAATATGGAAATATGTTTTACATGATTACACATATATAATCTATTTAAAATTCTTGCCTTTTTAGGGAAATGGGAGAGGAGAGACAGGGACAGTGGAAATTTGGAACTCAAAAATTTTTTAAATGAATGTTAAAAAATGTCTTGACATGTCATTGGAAAAAATAAAATATTATTTAAAAAAACACTTTCACAAAAACCCCAAGCTACCTTGTTTTCCACAGGGTGAATGAAATATAATAAGAACCTTCTGGTAATGCTTACAACAGACCACATCCTTATTTTTCTACCTCCATCTTCCTTGGCATGCTATGCCAAGGACTGTTGTTTGTAAGAGTTCTCAACCTATACATCATAGGCACTTAATATACATCTTCTAACTTGTTTCTGTGTCTCTTTAACTCAGGGGAAGGAAAGTATGGCCATGCAGCCTGCTTTGGCCTGCAGCCAGGCTGTCTCCTACCTGATGGTAGCCGAATGATGTCTGTGGCTGCCCTGGTAGTAAACTTCTCCCAGCCTGTTGCAGGCCGTCCCTCCCTGCTGAGGCATGATGAGGTGAGGACCTATTTCCACGAGTTTGGTCATGTCATGCATCAGATATGTGCACAGGTGAGTGGCTTTTTGAAATCTTTCATTCCAAAAAAACCCCATTGTTGCCACTGCTTTGTTCCAGATCTAGTGTTTTTTTTCTTCTTTTGACTGGTGTCATGTTTTGTCACCTTAAATCCCATTTTTTTCCCCAAGAACTAAACCTATTCGAAGGTTTTGCCATTACGCTACAACAGTACAAAGGTATAACCTTTTGTTTCTTTTCTCTTCTTAATTTTTTCGCATTTAATAAGCTTTTCTCTCACTCCCACCTCCTTCCATATATCCCCATCAATAAAGAAAAACAAAATTGTTTTTGCTTTGTTAAAAAAAATGCAGAATTGAGCAAAACAAATGTCTACTTTAAGCCAAAGGTGCAAAAAAGTGTGTCTCATTCTACATATTGAGTCCATGGTAAACCCTATGAAATCATTGTTGGTCATTGTATTGATCAGAGATCTTAGAACAAAATTATATAATCTTTGGCTTGTGTGTCTCCTTGTTACCACGCCCTGCTTCAGAGGGCATAAGCCATTGATGAATGAGACTAAGAAAGTTCAGCTTATGGAAAGAGAGCAAATTTCTATGGTTCAAGGGCAGATTGAGTGCCATATACTGGCTTCTCTTTTCATTTCTATTCTTCCCTGTAAGACCTTGGTGTAAACTGCATAGATTACCTGAGATTTGGTCTGTTTCTTGTGCTTGTTAACCTTTTGCTTACTAACCGCAGTTTTATATCCTTTATTTCCTGGACATGCCATCTTGTAGTTTTAAAAAGAGGTTTTACTTTTTCTATAACTAAAACAAATGTTTTAGAAAGTTCAAAAAGCAGGCTGAAAGAGGACAGGGTTGGTAGCATCCCAGGCAGCAGAAACCCAAGACACATGAGAAAAATCCCACCATGGTTTCCAAAGGACACAGGCCTCATGAGGGCTCTCATAGATATAAGGGGTTCAGGAACTGTGGCATTGGAGACTCACTTGGGAGCTCAGAAGAGTTGTTTTCTGCAGTGAAAATCAAGAAATGTAGAGGGGCAGATTTTCAGCAAAGAGAAAAGGAGTGCTTCAGTGTGTCTTGGCAGGTCCCAGGTAACCACCCATAAACAGCTTAGGTTTTACAAACAGTGGACAGACTGCCCATTCAAGAAGGAAAGGACTAACAGTCTTTCCCTGTTGTATTTTGTAGTTTTATATTACAAAATTATATATATGCTGATTGGGGAGGTTAGGAATTCAAGCTCTATCTTCTTGGTTTTGAGCTATAGATTATTACTGGGATCCTATTAAGTCTGTGATTCCATAGAAGTAGTGGGTTAACCTTAGGAGAAGCAAGCATATTGGATTCTGACTTGGGTGTTTTTTTGTGATTTGGAGTATTCATGCAAAGGTGTTTTAGCACCTTGGTTTCCTTAACTGAAACAATAGCAGTTTTCAAGGAGTTTCAGTGGTACGTGTGTGTATGTGTGTGTATGTGTGTGTGTATACACATACATATATAATTAATAACAGTAGTAGTAATTATAGGTAGCATTTGTATGGCACTTCAAGGGTTTTTTACATGTGTTATTTCATTTGATCCTCACCACAATCCTGGGAGACAGGTGCTAATTATTTTCCCCATTTTGTAGATGAAAAAACTGAAGCTGAGAGAGGTTAAGTGATTTCCCCAGAATTGCCCAGCTACTATTTCTCTCAGGCAGTATTTGAACTCACATCTTCCTGATTCCATGTCCAGCACTTTTTCCACTGTCCCACCTAGCTGCCTTTTGCTGCTTTTTACCTTGACTACATCATGGACCCCATAAAGCCTACTATCATCTTTCTGTACTTTATTTTTCCTTGGTTGTTTGTTAAATTAAGTTTGTCCTTGGGCCAGCTGCTTTTTTTTTTTACCTTTTTTTTTCATTTTAAAAATATTTATTTATGGGGCAGCTAGGTGGTACAGTGGATAGAGCTCTGGCCTTGGAGTCAGGAGGACCCGAGTTCAAATCCAGCCTCAGACACATAACACTCACTAGCTGTGTGACCCTGGGCAAGTCACTTAACCCCAATTGCCTCACCAAAAAAACAAAAAACAAAAAAAAATTTATGTTCACATGTATTTATCATTCCTCCCTTCTGCTGCTCACCCCAACTAAACATCACCACCACAAAGAAAAAGTAGAAATCAAAACTCCTATAACAAACACGCATAGTCCAAATAAACAAATTCCCATATTGACCATGTCCGAAAATATATGTCTTATTCTCCATTTTCAGTCTATTTCCTTTCTTGCAGGAGGAATGTGGTATATTTCATCCTCAGTCCTCTGGATTCCTGGTTTATCATTGTCATGATCAGAGTCCTAAAGACTTTCAGAGCCTTTTTGTCTCTATAATGTTGTTATCACTGTATAAATTGATTTACTAGTTGTGCCTACTCCACTCTGTGTCAGTTCATAGAGATCTTCCCAGTTTCCTCTTATTCCTTTCATCACTTCTAGTGGCAAAATAGCATTCCATTCTATTTATACTTCCCAGTGTGTTTAGGGCTCCCCTTAGATTCTAGTTTTTTGCTTCTACCAAAAGACCAGCTGCTTCAAAATTGAAAATTATGTTCTTTACTGCATTTAAAGTCAGACATTTTCATTGTTTTGCAAAACTTTTTTTTCTTTTTCCTTTTTTCTTCTTTATTATAAAGGATGGCTTTCTGGGAGAGGGCAAGAGAAGGAATACTTAGCGTGGGAAAGGTGGGTGATAGACAAGATGTCAATAGAATTTTTTTTTAAAAGCTACATACTTAGTACCATAATATTTCATATCTGATCAACTCCCTCATCAGCATAGCTGAGCACAACGCATTTACCAGGTTAGAATCTCCCCTTTAAAGCAGAAGGTCATAGCCAGCAGTGTGCGTTTTGCCTGACCTCATTAATGCACAAAAATGTGTCACCCTGTAGAACAAGGCTTTAATACATTACCTTGATTGGTCAAACCTCTTGTAGGATTATCTCAGAAAAACTATTTATAATTTCTTATTTGCTTGGCTCCTAATCCTTTGAAGTGTTCCCATAGTCCTTTTGGGCTTTAAAATAGGTTTAAAGAACAGTATTTGAAGCCAGTGTTGATTGGATTTGTTTTCCGAAGTTATTGATAGGACAGAATCAGACAACAATTTCAGAGCCCTTTTTTTCTTTGCTAAACAACATAGTGGTGCTTTGGTATCATTTCCACAGACAGGAATAGCCTGTCTCGTCTGTCTGGGAAAGAATGAGTGAATAAATAGCTTGCAACACACATTCAGCTTGAGATTGAATTGAGAGATTAGCTTGAGAGATGGTGGTTCAGTGGATGAGTCCTCCGCCACAGCTGTGTGTAGATTTTTAGCCTGTTGCACTTGTCTTGGAGACGTTTAGATGTGTTGGCAGGACAGGCCAGTTTTCAGGCATGTGGCAGCACTGGTTCAGTGTTTGGTCAGTGTCTCATAGCTAGATAATCAGCCCTTTGAAAAGTGTGAAAGATCATATCAGTCATAAGCATTTATTAATCACCTAACACATGCCAGACACTGTGATAAGCGCTGAGGATACAAAGAAAGGCAAGACAGTCCTTGCCTCAGGACGCTCACAATCTAATGGGGGAGACAGCATGTAAACAACTGTTTATGAACAAACTATGGACAGGATAAATTGGAAATATTCAACAGAAGAAGGACACTAAAATTAAAGGGGATCTAAAAAAAAGGCTTCTCGTAGAGAAAGGGATGTTAAAATGTTCTTTTAATTATCCTTGTTTGTATGTTCAGTAGTTTTGCAGTCATGTCCAACTCTTTGTGACCCCTTTTGGAGTTTTTTTGACAGAGATACTGGAGTGGTTTACGGTTCCCTTCTTCAGCTCATTTTACCGATGAGGAAACTGAGGCAAATGGGGTTAAGTGACTTGCCCAGGGTTACACAACTAGTAAGTATGTGAGGCTAGATTTTAATTCAGGTCTTCTCGCTTCCAGGCTAGGAGCTCCATCCACTGTGCCATCTAGCTGTCCTGTCCTTGGTTATCTTATGCTTATTTGTGTACCTGCCGCCCCAACCCCTCCAGTTAGACTGTAAACTCTTTGAGGACATTGTTTTTCTGCTTTTTCATCTTCAATGCCTTACTTTAACTTGGCAGTTAATAAATGTGTTGACTAGTAAATGTGTCACATAATGTGTCCACTTCAACCACTACCTTAGCTCACCTCTTGTTCCCTTGTCACCTCTTGCCTGAAGTATTGCAATAACCTTCTCTTGGTTCTTCCGGCCTCAAGTCTCTCCCAACTCCAATCTATACTTGACAGAGCTGCCAAAGTGATTTTACTTGAAGTGCAGGGCTGACCATGTCACCCTCCTCATCAATCAATGCCCTATTACCTCCAGATTCAAATAGAAAATCCTTTGTCTGACATTTAAAGCTCTTTACAGACTTTTTACACATTCCTTCCCCCCTTGCCTTCTCTGGTCCAGCCATAATGGCACTGGCCCACTTGCCATTCCTCACACATCTCCCATCTCCTTGCCTTTCTACTCTCTGTTCCGCATGCCTGGAGTGCCCTCCCTCTTTGCCTCCATCTCTTAGAATCCCTGGCTTGCTTCAAGATACAGCTTAAACACTACCTTCTATATGAAGCCTTTCTCATTTTCCCCAAATCCTAGTGTTGTTCCTCCCCAAACTACCTTGTATTCATTTTCTTTATATCCTGTACATATTTACAATGTATCTGTCCTTTTCCCTATTAAAATGTAAGCTGCTTCAGGGCAGGGACTGTTTCACTTGTCTTTGTATCCCCCAGTACTCAGTACAAAGCTTAGTATCTACTGTGTGTTTTAAAATGCTTATGGATTGGTTGTTTTTGTTTAATTGAATTGTAAAAAACTGACCTTTTTTTAGGATAAATATATGGCATTTGTAAAACTTCATCAAAGTAAGCTGAAAAATGTTTATATCTAGGGGGCAACATATAATTACTCTGGAATAGGGGTTCTTACCCTGGGGTCTGTGACTTTGTTT